GAAAATAAAAAGGAAAGCAGGTCAGGTTTATGGTATAAATATCCTTCAACGTAATAAGGTACGAAAATTGTACCTTGACGCTTTATTTTCCTTCCTTTCTTTTTTATACTATTATTATATTTCAAATTTGTCCCTTGTTCAACGTTAATGGCGAGCCTTGACGATTATTTCACCTTTGCGCATTGACCAAAGAAATTGGACCGTAAAAAACGAAACGAAGAATATTCGAGACCTTGGAATTTTTCCGTCAAATTGCGCTATTGTCAAAAGACAAACAAGAGCCTTGATAGATTTTTTTTTTTTTTGATTCCATGATCTTAATCTCATCACTGTGCTACTGTAAAACGATCCCATATTCGCTATGCGTATTAGAAATAATTCTAACGCGATGCTTCTTTTTAATTTTGATATTTCAATCATAACTCGATTTATATGATTATTCAGATCGTCGAGTGAATTGAAGAAATATCACATATTTGGAATCACGCATTTTTCAGGGCACGGAGGAAAGGAATCACGATCTTGTACAAGTGTACAAGAATTACTTTGAGCGTCGCGTGAATCCAACGAATCTGGCGTTATTAATCGACAGCTACGTCCGTCGTACAGATCTGAACATCACAAGGGAATTAGATCCTACGCGTAAGAAGGAAGGTCTGACGCTTGGTGTACCTGTGATGAATATCACCGGGGCTTTGAGCCCACATGTCGACGATACCGTCACGTTAAATGGACGATTAGATCCGATGAATAGCTCTTGGATGAAGGTACGAGACTCTTGAAACATTAATCAAAAACTTTAAAAGGTTCTGCTCGAAAAGACCTGTATTTCGTTTCGTATTCCGTACGGAGACTCTTTGTTAAATATTTCCTGATGAATTTTGGAATTCCCATCCCTTTCGTGGATGGATTTTTCAATCGTATCTTCATTGTTACGATAGTTCTCAACTTTTTTTTCTTTTTTAATCTTGTATAAAATATTGTTTTAATTGAAAGAAATTTGAATTTCTAAGATTTACACGATACGTTTGAATATTATGATTGCATTTACCCGTTGAACGATTACGTGCTAGCGTTTCTTATTGCACAGGTGTAATAATAAAAATTGTTTTAAATAATCGAATTCGTCTTCATCTCTACTCGCAGATTTCCGATTGCGGAATGGTATTGGAGGAGCAACCGGGCAAAGTAAGCGAGGCCTTTCGACTATTTCTGCAGGGCGAAGGATATGGTAAGTGAGCGCGCTGGCGAACCACGCTTTAGACATTAATTATCGAATTGTCAAACGACTATTCTCATCGATTCTCATTGGTATAAACGAAACTCGACTCGCGCCATCCTGTCTCGTGAAAGAGCACGCGAAAAGATTACGATTCTCTATTAATTAATTCGAATTGATCGCGAAAACAAAAGGATTAAAAATATACCAAATATTCAACCGAACTGGATAGACATCGTTGCACGCGAATAGCCTGCAACGTAGCTGGCTTCGATTAACATTTACGGACAATGAGTCAGGTGTTAATGATTTCACAAAGACGTTCGCGTGCTCTATTGCGTAACAAGATATACGGACACGAGAACGCAAATGTGTCGTGAATCGTGACTTACTCGTTCGTTACTCGTAGGTTTAAGTTCGAACGCTACATTTGACAAGTAACGGTATTTTTGGCCTTATATATATATATAAAATATACACACACACACACACACACACGTTTAACCGGATCAAACACGCGTGTTAAAAAACGGCAACACAAGAAGGAGAATTATTTCACAATTATTTCGAGCCGACCTTGACACGTAATTTTTCATCCGTAATTTCTCATCTCGAATCCGTTTGATATGCGATCCGAAATGACGAAGTAACGCTTGTAAATTAAGTCATCCTCGATCACTTTTTGCCTTCGAACTCGCTAGAAATCCGGTGCGAAAGAAGTCGCGTTTAAGCTGCATTTAGCTGTAGCGAGCAAATGTTGTTTCTGCTACACTGCTACCCTACTCCCCTCCTCTCGCCATTAAATATAGAAAACGATTTTATTGCAGATCTCTTCTCTGTGACGTAGCCGTCTATCTAGCCGTGTCGAATCGTATTTCGAAGTACGATACGACTTGAGACTCGTCCGCCAATTATTTACTAATTTCACTCTTTATACCCTGATACATTTGTTCTTGTCGCTTCATTGATAATATGTTAAGAGCGGATACGAAGATGAAGCGAATATCGCTCTATTGAACGATTAACGCTAATTTCGCGACTGATTGAAGTTTATTATTCTTTTTTGGCTTCTTGGTCACAGAAACACGATAGCACTTATCACATAACACAACGCTTTACCACTATCGCCCAGTTATAATAACAGCAAATAACGGAGAGAGAGAAAAAAAAAAAAAGAAGCGGTGTAGTATACTTATCGCGCGAGTACAATATTTCATCGATGATTACAACAACGGTTTGCTTAATTCCTCTTATTAGTAATTATTATCGAATCTATTTTCCCCATTTTCGACTCGCTTTGAAACAAAAAGCGAGCAGATAACGCATTTATTTTTTACGCGGTAGATATCTGCGGAATATTATCCAAAGTTATGCCCAAGTTGTTTCTAATTAAATTTACTGTTCCTAATCCGTGATGATTATCGTTATATTAATTGTTGTTGTTGTTACGATCGTCTCTGTTATACGAATAGAGTTTTCATGTTGTACAATTGGCGCGATGCCAAGATGTTGTTAACCCTTGATGCGTTAAGGATCGACACTTTTAAATTTCTTTGAAAAAAAGATCTTCTTTCCATTTTTCTTTTTTTTTTGTTTTTTATTCGAACCATAATATATCGTTCAATAATTGATTTCTAATGATAATTCAAGTTATGTACGTATCCTTGATACATTGAGATTTAATTAACATCTTTGATCATGTACTTTCCTTCGTTGGAAAGCCACTGGCTCGACTTGATAAATAAAAAGAGGTTTGAAAAAAGGATTACGTTGGATTCATCACTTTAGTCTCACCACCATTTATCATTTTATATGAGAGCTTTAAAAAAAAAATATATATATATATATGTATATATACATGATTATCAAAGGCAAAAATAAGAAAAAATAATGTTCACCGACTTGCGCCTTTATTTCCCACGCGTCTCGGATCGATCGAGTGGTACGTATATATTAATATCTAGTGCTATCAACTGAAGTAGTCAACAGTAAAGTAGTATCGGCTTTTTGGCTATTTTGTTTTGCTTCTCAATTACTTCTTATTGCTAGTGCTAAGGATCACGCTATCGTTTAAGTAGTTTAGACGTATAAAGTTTATAACGTAGACGTGTCTTGTTCTCAAATTTCGTTCATAATAATCATAATATCAGGAAAATTTACGCTTTAGCTGTTTAAAAACAAAAGATACGTAGCATATTTAGAATTTTTGATCGAAATTTATTTGCTACACGAACAGCCAAAGCATATATTCCTTTCACCCTCCTCCCCCTCCGTTTTCTTTTTTTTTTTTGTTTTACGACTCACTCGTACCAAGTGAAAGATATAATTTCTCATTGCTTTGCACGAAAAATCATGAACATGGACGACAAACGCGACCGAAAAATCGTTGCTTAATTTCTATTATTTAAATGTACCAATTACACGAGAAACGGCCTAGCGATGCATCGCACCCGAGAATGATTTTTTTCGATGAAGAGAGAGAGAGAGAGAGAGAGAGAGAGAGAGAGAGAGAGAGAGAGAGAAGAAGAAGAGAGAAGTAGTAG